CAATACTTAATTACAACCCAAGAAAAACAATTGTAATTTCAACCGGTTCAAACGGGAACACGATATCGATTACTTCTTAACTTTCCGTGATAGTAATTATCTACGCTTGAGGTTATTTAAGGCTAACAAGTGGTTGATGTGATAAAGCATAGACGTCAATACAGCCCAGGGAATATTTTACGAAGAATAAACTTTTCTTTTAACTATACAGAACTAAACAGTATGTCTTATCATAAAATTGTGTTATGATACAGATCCATTCAAAAAGGCTAGACGTTAAAAAAACAAAGTTAAAAAATGCACTTAAACGTAGACGGCAAGCTGGGGCTTTGGTAAACAACGGTTGCCAAACAATAGGGACCGTGTAATAAAAGATGATTTATTGTGTTGTCAAAATGATACTCTGGCATCGTATAGGGAATGAATTTCATACAATATTACTTTTATATTAAACTGTGACACGTATTGTTAAAATATTGTGCTTTTAGCCGGAAGAAAAAATATTAGATGTACCTCTATCTAACGCTGTATTCTTCGGAAATATAAACGTATTTCGCTTATACACCTGTTCCATTAAAAAACCATAGATACGACAAAAGACACCAGTACTAAGCAAGTAAACGGGGCAGACAACAGGTACTAGGATCCAATTATCCTAATTATCGATACTCTTTCTACTCATTGTGACAGTGAGTAATAATGTTCTGTCTTTTGTTCCGGTCACCGATTACTGTGCATTGAGTATATGCTTGCTTATAAAGTTATGCGTAAAGTAAGCACGCTAATTATATTATCAACCTCTCAAATGTGGCCCCAGTTTTTTCCCGAACAATAATCGATTATTCTAGAACACAGTGTATAATGCATGAGCGGAAAGTCGACGTGGTTAAACTCACGTCTATAGTATTGTTTACTTTGGCGTTATCGTACTTCAAGCTCGTATGAGCCACATCCTCCGTTTAGTATTTTGTCAACGTCGCAAAGTCAATCTCTGATGTCCAGGCTGCAGGGTTTAGGCTTTACTGTATTTGAATTCAAGAACGATGCTCTTAGAGAAATTACATAGCTTAACTAGCTTATTCTTGCAAATGAAGCTGAACAGGTTCGCTTCGTCTACCGCCAAAAGTACCTACGGCCAATCACCTTTACAAGGTCACTTTTAACGCCGCATTTTTTAAGTTTCTTTTCGATTCTCTTGGAGCAGTGTTTGTCATCATTATGAAACCAATATCTGTTTCTCTTGCGTCCAAAATTTTGGAAGTTAACATACCGTACAACATTTAAATTCTATTAATTGCGTGGAAGTAAGCATATCCATGGTTAAGAAAAAGTTTTTTTATCAATTCATTTGAATGCGATTTTCAATGAATGAAGCTCAGGCGAAGTGCAACTGGACACGAATTGCCATGGTCGATCTGGACGTCTTTGAATAGCTTTCGAACTCAGGTTGATCGGAGCAAGGACAATTTGTTCAGGTGGGGATTTTCGGATGGTTCTAACCTGCCCCCTGATTGCGACAGCCAATAGCGCGCGCTTATTCCAATTTTATCGCGCGCGTCGCGACTATCATGCGTAGCCATGCCAAGGGGGCTGGACTGCTTGTGCGGTGCGACTCAAACGATGGCTCACCTCATATCGTACCCTGCGTGCCCTAACACCTGCACGCTTGCGGATTTAATGGCGGCTACTAGTGGCGCGGTCGGCGTGGCTGAGTTCTGGGCCACAATAGTGTAATGTATGTTTATCGATACGATAAGAAGAAGAATGCGATTTTCAAGTGAAACGATGCACTAGAGAGGCAAAATAAGTAAGCCAGTAATAAACATTTTGTGATAATATCATTAAACTTAAACAAAACTTGATTAACGAATATTTAGTTATAAATAGTTTTTGCCCTCGATTTATGGCGTTAATTGGTTTTAACCCGATTGAAACCCTGCGTTAACAAAGATTTAAAACCAGGGCGCTTGCCCATCGCTGGTGCCGTCACTTGGTATCATAAAAAAACTGGCTACAACCTAAATATTAACAAATAAACGTCGTGTCGACTGTCTTTTAAAACTTTTCAATGTGTTACCAGACACGTTGGACTTTTGCCTCATATGTTAAAAGTATCTAGTTTAGGCTCGTGTAACGGGGCTAAGTTAGTTAAAAACTCACATACATGCATCATCAACCTGCTATACATCCTACTGCTGGGCTCGGGTCTCAGGCGAGGCTTTTGGCCACAGTCCGCCACGTTGGCCCAATGTGGGTCAGGGTCTTTGCATGTCTTCCAATGGTTGTGAACCTTCTTTGACGTGCAGGTTTAATCGCGCTGTTTTCCTACACCGAAAAGCTCATGGTAAATTTTAAATTAAATTCGCACATAAATGTACTGTCTGTTGTCTTAAAATGAAAACACTTTACCTATACGCCACAACTAATCAATTATTTGTTTTAAATATTATTTCAAGATACACTTTTGTATACTTATTTAAAATGAATATGAGTATACGGGTTAATGCTATGCATACATGTACGAATGTCCTTGTCAAATTAGCTACGATCATCTTCACAGTGTGAGTAATTGACGCGATATTTCATATCTACATTGAAATAGATAATCTTTTACTTATTTCACTTTGTCAATATTCATCAATCAAAGCACCTAATGTTAAGCTTGAAACACACGGAGAACGGGTGCGGACCGGGCGCGTGTCGTGGCGGCGGGTGTCCGTATATACATATATATGGACGACAACATACCACGAGCGGGCGCAGGACCGCAGGACCCGGGGTGGTGTGTTGTAGTCCACATAAATACACGGAATTACACCCGTCATGCTCCCGATACGACACGCGCCCGATTCGCACCCGTTGCCAGTGTGTTTCACGCTTTAGTGTATTGATAGACTCAACTTACATTGGCGCAGAGTCGCAGCGTCGACTCGCGACTCCATATTTGCATAACACATATTTGTACCTTAATAATGGGAAATACAGATGAATATGCTATAGGTGAAAAACATGACGCGTCGCGACGCTTCGACTCTGCGCCAGTGTGAGTTGAGCCTTAAAGTCTTGGCGTTCACTCCATTCGATCTTTCTCGTCCACAAAGCTACATTGATATTTTACACCTTTAAAGGACTATCTACACACATCAGGTCCGTGGCCGGGACGTGCTAGTTTGTATGAACTGCGGGCCCGTCCCGGCGCCGGCCCGGACATGGACACGTGTGAACGAGTTCATACAAAACATACGCAACGATATTTTTTTAGCCCCTGACGGACCACGGCCCGTCCACGTCCCGGGCACGGCCCGGATATGGCCTGGATATGTGTGGATAGACCATAATCTAGTTAGACAATATTAAATTTGGGGATTTCACAAGCATACCGGATAGGATGATGTCATTTACCTAACCTTCGTGGGCGGGTCCGTTATAACGACATGGAAATTAGACTATGTGTAAGAACAAATGTCTAAGAATACAGACTAAACTTTAGACTAGTATTGACTACAAAATTGACAAGATTTATTTAATTACATTTATTATGCAAATTTGATTAGCATTTATGGTTTTTATATTAAACATTTACAATGTTTTTCTCTTTCTAATTACATATATTTTAGTGCGTGATGTAACTGCTGTACCTCCCGAATTAACAGTATTATATCGACGATGGATATAAAGTCGATGACAATATGCAATCGGTCAGTTTTTAGTAGCAGTAGAGCTCCTTGTGAAAGTGTTAGTCAAGGGAAGTACTGTCACCTTACCTATTTTTGCCATGAAACAGTAATTTGAGCATTATTGCGTTCCGGTTTTAAAGGGTAAGGGTGCTAGTAATTACAGGCACATGGACTTGTAAACTTATGTTTCAGGCTGACGGGCGCAGTGGCAGTGGCCCTTAGATCTATGCGATTTAAAGCTCTGAGTGGCACTGCAACTGTTATGGACAGGCGTGTAGCTTACAATCAGGCGCACGACTTGTTCGTCGCGTCACTTGGTACCATAAAAAAGCAGTAATTGGAAAACAAACTAAAATATATATTGTTAGAAAGAAGGTCTGCATAATGAAATCTATAATTCAATCAATATTTTAGTGAAACAATAATGGTTTTTTAAATCAATAAATAAAATCTGAAAATAGTAATATTTTTAATTTGTTGTGCGAACGCCAAACACACCACGTGACGTCATACGTAGGTAAATAAAGCCACGTCATCATTATTCACCGGTCGAATAATATCTTGTGTTTGATGATTTACATTTAGATTTATTTATTATCTTGTAAACTTTACATTATTATACACAATATATTGTATTACAAGAGTCGTTACATATAAATGTTACACTTCAAAACATTACAAATATCCAGTACAAGTTTTGTACTGCGTAATTTTAACATAGTTAATGTAGTTATGTGAAATAATGTAGGAACATATTAAATATGTTATTTACTACATCATGAATGAATGATGAATGACGTCACGCGTTCTGAGTTGAATGATACTGGCTCGACATGCAGTCCTACATTTTTTTTTTTAATATTTCAAATAGAGTAATAGGGACTTAAAAAGCTTTAAAGAAAATAATATTTTTCTTGACTGTATTATATTCATTGTGATTAATTTTAAATATTTTCTGAAAAGTTGTCTGTTTCCTTGATTTATTATTAATATACTCAAGTGAGCTAGATGGACGGATGATCTGGTAAGGGCGCCGGGTAACCGATGGATGCAGGTCGCGTCCGACCAGCTAGTCTGGCAATCTTTGGGGGAGGCGTATATTCAGCAGTGGACGTCTGATGATGATACTCTAGTGACTTATTTTTTATTTCACGTTCCATAATTGGTTATAATTGGGCTCTACCGGGTTTGTGTTTAAATTTCCTTTGCCTAGTTATCGCAAATCTATCTTACCCATAGCATTTTGTATTTTATTAAACTTTGTCGTTCCAATATCGAAAACTTTCCGAAGCCTTTTAACAGCTACTTCATTTTTTGTTACAGGAGTGTTAGGTGACATACAGGATGAATTCAAAATCGGCGACGACTACGCAGGTCTGCTGCAGACCGTGTTTGTGATCGCCTATATGATATTTGCTCCAACCTTTGGCTATCTGGGAGATAGGTATTCTCGGCGGTACATTATGTCATTTGGAGTCAGCCTCTGGTGTATTACCACCTTGTGTGGCTCCTTCCTTCACGTAAGTTTACAACGAGATAAAGTGTAGTGAACTCTTTATAAGAACAAAAACTGTCACAAATTAATTTAAGGAGCAATGTATACGCTTCTATAGCAATATTCCGGTTGATATGAATCTCAAATTAAACAGCACTAATGAAATGTGACTAGATTTAGGTTCAAAATTTAAATTAGAATTTTCTTATTTTTATTGTTTGTTACAAAATTTATTTCCTAATTATTGCTATTAATTACCACACAAACAGACAAACACTTACACATACATACCACAACTTCTATTTCAATTATTTTTCACACGTACATACAAAGCCTTACTCTACACAATTGATAACAATTACTGGACTGAGTTCTAATATTATATGTTACCACTTACTGGTTATTACATATTATAACAATATCTTACCTATAAATGGGTAACACATGTGCAACTATAAACGAAATTGACAAAGCCCAAATTGCGAACTCTATAACAACGTTCAGGATCTAACTAAATACATTAATATCTACAAAAATGATTTCACTGTAATTTCTCAGAATATAAGAAGTATACATTGTAAGTTTGACGATTTTCAAGCAACGATCTCTTACTTAGAGTGGATGTTCTTATACTGACTGAGTGTCGGCTTAGCGTGGATAAACCAATACCTCTCTTAAATAATTACTCATCAGTTGCTACAAAATGTAACCTCAATCAGAATGACGGTGTCGTAACTTACATTAAAAGTAATCTTAAGTCACACTCGAAAGAGGTTAAACTCGGACATGCATCTTGCATTCAAATTAATGAATTTGATCACATTGTTCTGTGTATCTATCGCTCACCGTCAAATGCTAATGCCAATAGTTTTATTGATTCTCTCAGCACCCATTTGGAAACGATCAGGGCTCATCGTAACATCATAATAACGGGAGATATTAACTTAAACCTTAATTCTAAACCTAATGAAGGATCAAATGAAAGTAATAATAGGACAAATTTAAATATGTTGGCTACTTACGGTATTCTCCCTGTTCACTCTCTCCCGACTAGAGACGGCAGCTGTCTAGACCACTTTATGATAAAACTTGACCAAAAAAGGATTACAGATCACAATACAATATTCATGAAATTATCCAAATTAAAACTAAACAGAAACGGCCTTAAGAAAACAGAAAAGGTGGACTATGACAAAGCTTTTACTAACCTCGTTCAAAAAAACCTCTCTAATTTACTGTTTTGTGATGACCCGAACATTGTAGCTAACCAATTAATAACTAGACTGACTGAAGCGCTGGAACAAAGTAAACTGATAAAAACCCAACCATGTAGCAAACGTATTATTAAGCCGTGGATTACTCCAGGTATTCTTCGCTGCATTAGAAATAGAAATAAATTGCAGATTAAGTTAAGATCCGACCCTCAAAACGCAGTTCTAGAAATTAGTTATAAGAGATACCGAAACTTCTGCAATAAATTACTAAAGAAATTAAAACACAAACACGAGAGAGAACAATTAGCTAAATCCACAACTAATTCAGAACTTCTTGGGAAAACTATAAAATCAATAACAAATCTAATAAAATATCAAATACTGATTTATTAAATATTAAATCCACTCCCTGCGATTCTATTAAAACAATTTTATTGAAAGAGTTACATCTACTAAGTATTTGGGAGTTATCCTGGATTGGCGCTTGAGCTCGCATCAACACATATAATTTATGAGCGACAAAATACGGAAATTGACCTGGATCTTTAGGAAGCTAAGACATATCGCTCATAAAAAACTAATAAATCAAATATATGTCGCACTGGCGCAGTAGATCCTGGGTTATTGTATTACTGTATGGGGAGGGGCAAATAAGACTGTTTTTAGAAATTGAAAGGAGTCAGCGCTGCTTATTAAAAGTAATTCATTTTAAACCTTAAGGTTCCCCTCTGATGAACTTTATCGATTTTGCGAGCTCCTCACGATCAGGAAATTATATATCCTACATGCAGTGGTAAGACTATACAAATCCTTGCCGTTTATCCCTGGGGTATTGACTAGAAGGAGAAAAGATAGAGTTGCAATCCCACGTCCAATCAAAACCAAATTCGCACAAAGGCAATACACATCGCAATCTGCTTACGTATACAATAAAATAAATAAATTATTGAATATCTACTAGTTGAACTCACGTAAATGTAAGGAAACTGTAATGAAATTTTGTTAGGTTTAAAATTGGCCTATAAATCTAAGTTTTATCTATACATATGTTTATCTACATAAATACATTCTTACTGTTATCAATCAGTATATGAAATTGCATAGACAGTAAGACACTCACACACACATATAAGCACACACACAAACATAAACACACACACAAATATAAACACACACACACACACACACACACACACACACACACACACACACACA